GACCCAAAGACTTGACACGTTTCTCTATGTATATTGACGCGCTAAATCCGAACCTGAAGCTCGAATTGAGCCACCACCGTCCAGTTTTTTTAATCGCAAAAAACCTCTTATAAACACGTTTTTATGCGGTTATAATATTAATATTACTTCTAGGCTGTCCGGAAGCATGTAGGAAGCCTACGTGTACATAATATTAATATGTAAAAACACATATTACTTCCTCTAACACGTTGTGTAAACAAGACGTTTTGTAGGTCCTTGATACCGAAAAATCTATTGACAGCAAAACGTCTCTCCGTCCTTCTGTGGTCAAAACTAGCGTCAAAATCGTTCAGTCGATATTCCTCAATTTCATAAAACTCCAGACTCTCTGAGTTTGAAACGGATATTTAGATTTTTGAGGGTATTTTACATGAAGCCTCAACAATATTTTCAAAGGTTGCTCAAAAAGTGCGCCATTAAAAAACTAGAAACTTTGTCATCGACTTAAAGCACGTTTTAGGGAAAGGTGCAAATCTATTTTTCGTTGAAAGCCCTGATTTTTCGAAAACTGCGCAAATGCAATTTGTTTCGGCGTATTCTTACTACTTCAATATTCAAGATAGATATTTTTTCTTATTGAAATCTGTTTCTTGAATACAGATTTTAAAATAAGGTCATGTACAATTTTTCGAAAATGTGAGTCGTTTTCGCATAAATTTACGTGAAATATAGGTAGTTTTTAAATATTTTAAAGGGAACTAATGCTGGTCACTTCTTATAGAATTTAAGAGACTGAAAGGGGTTCGCGTCCTTCTAACGGAATACTTACAGCTTCTTAACGTCTTATCGCACCATCTGTTTTAGACTACGTATCTTTCTTGTCTCTGACAGTCCAATTGTATTCATTATGTTAACCGTTATGTAGCCTACAATAACTGTTCAATGTGCGACGAATAAAAGGAATTTGAGAACTCTTGATTATCTTGCAACCCATCACCCTAATGTATACAAATACACATTGCATAATATAATTTACCACTTTGAAAAGTATGACGTTCATGAGACGTTTCCGTAGTCCGGAAATTCACAATTTCCTTTCGAAATGATGTTAACTCAGAAAGTGGCACACGTAGGCAGCGTTTCCTCATGTCAGCGAATTTACTGCAAGCGCTTTCATTAAGATCAATGCGCTCTCACAGAGTGCGAGAAAATGTCCCCAGGACTCATCAAGAAGAGTGCGGCGGCTGTGGACGGAGAGCTTCACCTCCCGTTTATTTTTCCGACATAATATGTTATGAAACTGTTCGAAACTTGTGGTACTTCAACATCACATGCCTTCTCGCATTATTTCCAACGGTCACTCAAAATTACGCCAAAACTACTCGAATTCGAAAAACAAACTGACATTATTTTAAAAACTTCTTCAAATTTGTAGCAGTAGGAAGATGCCGATATTTTTTTTCAATTTAAAAATTTTTAGAGTCCAATGAAAATCCGACTTGCGCTATTTCTATAACCGTACTTTGCTGTATTAGAGAAAAAAT